GGCCAGATTTTGGGAGATTATCAGAGTTGGTCTCCATGCTACCACCCTTCACATCCCAAGCCCTTCAACCCATTTGGAATCTAGCAACTTGTTTTAGCCAATATTTTCTCAACCTGACTTCTATTTCCAGCCTGCACCACATCTTGGGTCACCAGTTCTCTTTATTGATTTCCTCTTATTTTTTGACAATGATTGGAAGTGATAAGATTCCCTTATACATTGCTCTCAAACCACCAACCACGTCATACTGCTCTTGGTAACAATGGTTGCTACTTATTAAACATGTACTAGGGAACGTGCACCCTGTCAAGCATTCCCCATGCATTAGCTCATTTAAGAACACTACAAGATAGGTACCAGCATTCCACTTTACAAACGAGACCTGGAGAGCTTTAGCGAGTTGCCCAATGTCACCCAGCTAATGAGAGGAGGGGGCTGGATTAAACCTCAGGCATCAGTCTCCATTACTAATGCCACTGCTTTGGAGGAAGGAAGGCCAGTGTTGTGGCCTTTTGGAAGTTGAACACTCACCTTCCTGTGGTGGCTAGCCAGGCGTGTCTGTGACCGGGGGCAGGGGGGGGGCTAGTGAGGAGGGTATGGAATCCTTGTTTTTGAAGCATTGGGCACTGGGGACCAGAGTGTATTAGTAACAGCTATAGATTCACTTTAGGAGCAATGGACCTACACGTGCTTCTACAGGATTGACGCCATGGACAAAGGGAGCTCTGTAGACACCCAGCCCTAATGGTGATTTGAAAAAGCCAGGAGAGCAGAGAGGTTGTCCCAAGTCAGAATGTAAAGATAGTCCTACTTTATAACAGAGGGTAATGGGAGGGGCTGAAGGGCTTAGTCACCTCTCCAAAGGCCAGTTCTCTGGCCTTTGGGGCATGCACACAGGTGGTTGAACAGGGTTTCTGCATGGTACCTTGTTTCCCACTGCTGAGGGGGAGACTCAGCTCCATGCCTGCCCCCGTCCAGCAATGTCTCATATGCCCTGGGACAGGCCTAAACATCTCGACTGGGGCCCAGTCCTGAAATGTCCCCATCATTAAGCAAAAGTTGGAAGAGGCCTGGCCCTGATCTGTCTTCATTTTTAAAGCTCTTAGTAATATTTAAAAAAAATAAATACAAAACAGGGTTACTAAAATTGGCTTATATTTCCCAATGTTTGAATTAACAAAATAACACCTTTTAATATAAAAAACCGATATAATTGTGCTGGTCATAATATCACTGTAGGATTTATAAACTCATCACAATTCAATGTGACCTGGCCAGTGGCTGCGAAGCTCATTTGGAGAGAGCCTGGGTCGTTTTAGAGGCCCATTGTGAATTCCCAGAATGTGCAACTTGAGCCTCCCTGTCACAGTCACTGCCCCAGAGAAAGGGAGACATCCTACTATTTTTAAGCAAGGCCACCCCTACCCCTTTTCTATAAAATAAAGCTTTCAGATCAACATCAGCTGATTTTAAAAGTAAAAAAATTTTTTTTAATTCTCCCCTGTCCCAAAAGCAAGAGTAAGGAAGCAAACGTTATGGGAGAACCTAAAGGCCTTGGCCGTGACATGTGTATTATTTCCTTGCTCTTGAACTGCCCTGGGATGGTATAAGCATTGTTCAACCTGCTTGTGGACCGGTTAAAACGTTTGTCCAAGGACACATAGCAAATCTGGAACCAGAACCCAGAACCTTTGACTGTAAGGCCTGTGCGTGCTCCAGTATTCACGTCTGGCCAGGCCACGGAGCCCCACCAAGCCCAGGAGGAGCCCAGTGAGGCTGGGAGGGGGCGGGGGCAGCCCCTCTCCTTCATGCCCCCGTGGTATTGGGGCAAACTTTGACCTTTCTGGACCTTTCACTGTTTCCTTCTCTTTCTGTTTCTTCTCCAGGCTGGCTTGCACCCCTCCG